CACTTACTAATTCCGCTAAATCCTCGAAAACCTTTTTTGCTTCTTTGATAGTGTCCGTGTAGAGGCCAGCGGATAAAGCCTGCGCAAATGTTTTATTTTCGATTTTCGACTACACGGCTTGGGAAGGTCTTAACCTTGTCTTGTTTCTTCTTAGGGAACTTTACACACACCCCCTGAAGTTCGAAGTGTGTTCTAATTGACAGTTCGCGCACTTCGGGGTTTTTCTCCTTACTTTTATTTGGACATTCATAAGAATAAATGTTCTTCCGCGCATCTCACACACACTTGGGGGTAAAGTAGCAACCGGCCTGGGTGTGGTGGAACCCCTGGCAACGGTAACATTGCAGGGGCCCAGCCCGACCGCGGTAATCCTCAATTTTGGTACCAAGTCCACATAAATTAGTGATATTATAAATTTCTTTCGATTCGTCTTTTTTGGGAAGTGTAATTAAGAATAATGGTAACTTTATAACGTCACCGTTACGCCTACGGGTCATCTGCTTAATAGATTTAACAGTAAAGTTTTGAGCTTCGAGTGCGTCTTGTATGTCATTGATTTCAGTATCAATTAGTAAACCCCGGATTACAACCTTTAAGTCTCTATCCTGAGGGAGTATAAATGAGTGGTGTTCAATTTTGGCAGCACGAAGTAGTCTAACAATGACTTTGTAGTCATTAGCATCCTTTGCAAAAATTTTAATACCTTTAGGGGTATTTTTACTCATGACACATCTATGTTTCTCTCAATGAATGTGTTTCTTTCTTAAATTTTGAAAAATTTTTTATTACTAACTCTGATGGTAATGGGCGGAACTCTACTTTTCTTAACAAATTCCGCTTCAAGGTCATCATTTTGCGTGGTAGTGTCTATTTTTGAAGTGCTAATCTGCTCATTAGCAGCAGAGGAAGTATCCATTATTTCGTTATCAGCTGTATTTGCATTTATTTGCATTTTCTACATTCTCTTCAATATCAGAATTTTTAGCGTTATTCATTTTATCCTCATCATTATTGTTCACCTTAGAAGGAGATTTAGTCATATTTTTATTTTTACCCGTACTCTCTGTGTTGCTTTTAGCGGGTGCAATATCGGGTTTAGTTAAGGGAGGTAAGTTACTTATAACAAGTGCTTTGTGCTCTTGTTTTGATTTCATCACCGTCGCCTTAACAGTACGACTACGTACAGTTTGATCGCCTCGCCTTTTCCTGTAAAATTCCTCATCGGAGCTTACATCTTGATTAATGTTATTTCATGATCCAAATTAACCGCAGAGTTTTCATTCAACTTTATAGGGCTACGAGAACGATCGTTGTCACTGTGTGTAGCATTCCTGTCATCTTTATGTGCATCAGTGTTATGTCTAGTAACGCCACGTGTGTCACTATCTGATCCTGCAACGTAATTTTCAATACATGCTAGCATTTGTTGATAAAATTTATAATCGCCCTCCTTATCACTCGCTAGTGCACCAGCACCTTGGAAAGACAAAGCATAGCCGCTTTATATTCTCAAACATCAGCCGCGCACGCGCAGTGGTTTTGTTTCTAGACGAGGCAATTGTTATAAATGGAGGGTGATCATAATGGGTCTCTTTGGTGTATAGGATTTATGTACACATAAAATGGTTCTGTATAATTTCATGTCTGTTGCTTTGTTTTATTGCGTAACTTGAAAATTTTAATTTGTAGTTATTTTCATTTTTAATTTATATGCTCAACTAAATTTTGGAATTAATAGAGATAGATTCTGTGAGCAATCTCGTCAGAGGTTGCTAAACAGAAACAATAAGGAAATTAATAAAGAGGGTTGTCAACCCAAAATGGTGCGAAACTAAGCAATTAGACTCATATAATCCTGTCATCACTTTCTATGCTTTGTGTTTTATATGACATGTAAATGCAACCTCGCTCTCAAAGAACATGGATATTTCAATTGGAAGGAAAATGCTCGAGGTAAGGACTTAAAATAAAGAAAGAAGCAACATTAGCCTGCTTTAAAGCAAAGTTTTTGATTATGAAGAAAAAAAACGTGTCTGGTTGCATTTGAAATTGATAGTTTTATTAAAAATCTATGCCAATCTAGGTTACATTTTCTTATTTATGCTTAGTAGTTATACATGCGTAGTTGCTTAATGAACCGAAATTCTTATTTCTGTGTCCTCTGAATGTCATAAAGTGCAAGTAGTTTGTGTTATGCATTATCTACGTTGAAATTTTAACTGTATATAAGTGATGCTGTGCAAGTACGTAGGACTGCGGTTTTGGAAATTTTGCAATTTAATCCTTGAATAATACCTTTGAAATGGCAATAAACTGTTACAACCTGTGCTTTGTGCTTCTGGAAATTTTTAACTTTGGGAAGAGTAGAATCGTACGAGTATGGTTCAGGTATGATCGTAAATTTTGATAACCCCCAAATCTGTAGTTAGCCTACATGTTTAAAATTTGATTAGACTTCTCTATTTACGCTTCTTTCACACTTTTGTTCCATGGTATGGAAAAGCATATGTTAAAGAACTTTTTAGAGCATTTGTGCAACTGATGCAGTAGACAAATGCAAGAGAGATGGGAAGAACCGTTTTTGCTAGTAATATCGTAGTAACTGTTCACATTCTCAAGGCATGAAAATCACCTGTTCCCTTTGGTATCACTAGTATATCACTTTTAAAGCTGCATCTGTTTAATTGTTAATGAGCTGCTATACAGCTTTATGGAGTTACTGTGGAACTGTGTTAGAAAGTATTGTGTAACTAAATTCATCATATTTCCAAAAGGTGGTAACTGATACTTTTCCGACTGACTTCTGCTTCTGCTTTGATTTGATTATATATATATATATATATATATATATATATATATATATATATAGCTGGTTAAGTTTTCCTTACTGGAATGTTTGCTCTATCGGTAGTCCACTGCCTTTAATCCTTATAATACTGTCTATTATTGTAAGGAATGCTTATAGTCACTCATACATCTATCGATATTGTAAAAAGCATCATTTAATTTCTTAATCAAAGTTTAGTATAAAATATTCTTATTAATGAACCTAATTCATAAAAATATGTTCAGAAATAGAGAAAGGAAAATACGAAATATGTAGAAAAGATTTTAAAGTCTAATGTTGTAGAGACATTAGGATTTATTTGAAAGCAAGGGAGATGAAAAATGAGCAATGCCCTCGCCGGGACTCGTACCACGAACCTCTCGAATAGTCGAGCGTGCTGCACTACACCACGAAGGCATGCTAAGAAGGCGGGAGAAATACCTTATATTCTCCCCCTTTTAATGGGTGACTGGGGATTAGGGGACAGAATCGCCAAATCCTGGTGGTGAAAAATCATCATTCATCACCTTTTAGTTCAGGTGCCACTGTCGAGACGTTAGGATTTATTTGGAAGCAAGAGAGATGAAAAAATAAGCATTGCCCTCGCCGGGACTCGAAGCACGGACCTCTCGAATACGCGTCGAGTGTGCTGACCACTACATCATGAAGTCATGCTAAAAAGGCGGGAGAAATACCTTATAATGTAATTTAATCTTACAAGCGCTTTATCATAAGTAAATTAGCTTCAATTAAAAATGTTTTTATTGTCAATTTAAGAGTTCCTGTATAATCTATGTCGTTGTGTTTCATTGCTCTATGCACGTTAATTGAAACATCAAGGTATACGAAAAGTATTCAAAGATCCGCAAACAAGGGTATTATAAATAAAAGTAGTATTTAAGTTTTAAACATTTCATTTTAAATTTTCTAAGCCTTTACTTTTTTTAGTTATGCATTGATTCATATTGTTGATTGAATAACATGAATTCAAATATTTAGAATGGAAACTTTTTACTGAATCACTACTGTTGTATGTGTGTATGTGTCACCTGTCCCCTGTACTGTGCATTTTTATTTGAGACAGTACTCATTGAAAGTCTGTATCTTCTTGACGCATTTTGGTTTTCAGAATATTTATTCTTTATGTAATTGAATAATAATAAAATATTCTGGTTAGTTGCAGAAGTTATTCAGCACTCTGCTGTTGGAAAGCAGTTAGTTCAAAGTGGGCATTAATTCTTTTAAACTTTAAATGAATGGATATTATTGAATAGTGTGCAGGGAATCCAGATTTTTGATGATTGAAGTTAACTTACGTAGTTCTGTAAAGTTGGCTTTATTTCCTTTTTTATACTATAAGGCATTTCTCCTGCCTTCTTAGCATGCCTTCGTGGTGTAGTGGTCAGCACGCTGGGCGCGTATTCGAGAGGCCCGTCGTTCGAGTCCCGGCGAGGGCAATGCTGATTTTTCGCATCTCCTGCTTCGATATAGCCTAATGTCTCTACACTGGCGCCCGAACTAAAATAGGTTGTGGATGATGAGTCTTCACAACCAGGATTTCACCAGGCCTTCTTAGCATGTCTTCGTGGTGTAGTGTTCAGCACACTGGATGCGTATTCGAGAGGCCCGTAGTTCGATTCCCGGCGAGGGAAATTTTCACATCTCCTGCTTCGAAATAACCTAATATCTCTACAATACTTATAAATCATTACCAAGAAATGGCGTGATCTATGAATTAATTTACTTAAAATAATAATGAAATAATTATAGTCTTATATAGTTGTATAATGTGAAATGATTTCAAAATTTGGGAAACGTCGTATTCCTCTTGGAAAATTTATATCTGACTGCAATATTTCTTGAACTGAGAAAAAAGAAATTTTCAAATATATTTGATTTATATAGAAATTTCTGAATATTTTGGTAAACCAAGTAGTAGAATCTGGTATGCTTTTTCTTTCAAATTTCTAACTTTTTATATTGCAGATATTTCAAAATACTAAATCAGACTTTTGTTCAAAATAAAGTGATATATTTTGTATTATTTAAACATCAAGTATAAATGTTTAAACATAAATTGCAAAGAATAGTTTTTGTAAATGACCAGTTAAGTTATAATGTTTGTACTAAACTATTATATGCTAATCTAATGCAAAATGTTTTCCCCTTCTAGATAAAATTTGTTTATCTTGTTATGTTGCTTGTGGAAGTATAACAATTTATAGTTTACCCTCATTGAAGCCCGTTTGTACTGAAGACTTCCTTCCATTGGTTGATATGAGGTAAAGTCTGAGCTGATATCCTTTGTTCTTTTGTGTGAATTGACTGTGCATTATTTTCAAGTGAGACTTTTTTTTTTTTTTTCCAGTTTATTTCCAGTGTATCTGTTGAAAAATATTTGTGAAATCACATTAGAGACTTAAAAAATTCTTTTTTATTTATAATGGCTGCATATAAAGTTCAGTGCAATAAATTGTTTCAGCACTTTTTGTCACATTTAGGAATTTGTTGTAATTTTAATTTAGTTGCTGTTACACAGCATAACAAAACCGACACATTGGTCAAAATTTTGTATTTGTGTAAGATATTCTGATTCCGAAAATAATATAATTATTTCGTTCTGCTTACAGTATTTATGTTGTCTGCAATAACAATATTTCTTTGCATTTAGTTTTCCTGGGGGAAAAAATGAAAAAGTTTCTTAGCATTTTAAATCTTTAGTGATTGTTAAGAAATGTGTCTGCTTTGAATATGAGTGGTGATGAGAATTAAATACCTTCTGTAGTAAGGTATAATTTAGGTTAAAATAACACGCCGAATAACGATTATTTTAAAGTCTAACAACAAAAAATCAGGGCATTATTTGCAAATTTTTCAGAAAAAAAGTAAATTTAAAGATCTTTTTTTCCGCAGACTAGTTTTGATGGCTTAACTACCGAAATAGCTGTCTCAGCTGCCAAAGTGCAAATGAATGAGGTAAGATATGATGATAAGAATAGCTAGACAGGAGTTAAGCTACGGGCCCCATCTATTGATGAAACAAGAAAACTAAAACATAATTTTCTTAAAGGCTGAAGGTAAGATGGATTGGAATTAGGTTCCTTAACTAATGCCTCTAGAAAATCTAATTCACCATTTGAAGATGATTTTTGAATAATCACACTTTTGAATAATCAAACTTTTTCTTTCTTATTTTGGCTATAGGCCAAAATAAGAAAGAAAAAGTTTGAAAAAGTGTGATTTTCGGGCCAACAGTGCTGGGCAACCGAGGACTTCTGTGTTTCTTTTTTCTTAACATATGCCTCATGTTCTTTAACACAAAATTTTAAAGCTGTCTTTGACCAATGTAAATTAAACCACATTGGCAAGGAATCTTGTAAATACCCCAGGAATTCATATCCAGAATGGGGTTCCTTCAGTATGGAACTCGGAATTTTATTGATAGGAGAATAAATTACCCAAAAGTTAAATTTCTGTAAATAAGTGCAATTTTATAGCTAATTGATGGAAAGAAAGGAATAGCAAAAGAATTCTCATAATCTCCTAAAAAACAAGAGTGGCCCTTTAGATGAGAATTTTTTAACTGCTTGGTTAATAATATTGGGGGGGGGAATTTGCAAATGTAACACTGATTTTCTTCAAACACTGATATTCTTGAAATGTTGTTTGACTTCTAAAATAAGCTAGGTATATTTTGCCTATTGTAGAAAGTGTACATAGTATAGAAAGGTTCATTAGATTATCCTGCAGTTGTTGTATAAAATTATATTCATGAAATAATGCCATTCTGTGATGAACTGCAGGGATGAAGAGTACCTATTCTGATAGAGTTCATGGACCCCTTTTGTGTGGTGTATATTTTGTGAAATCCTTAACCATCATCTTGTATATGATGAAGTAAAAGAGTAAATTTAAAGATCTTTTTTTCCGCAGACTTGTATGATATTTTTATTGTATCTTTCACGATGAAGTTAAATAACATTGTGTTTTAAAAATATCTCATAAACTTTTTACTGGCTAGTTAAGCTACTTGCGCCATCTGTTGATGAAACACGAAAACTAAAACATAAATTCCTTAACCCATTAAAGGCCAAAACTACAAGGAATGTTTCTTTTCTCATGAAAATAATAACAAATATTAAATTAAGCATTTATAACATAAATTTACATTTAAAATTTAAAAAAAAAATGCTCTTACCTGTGGAAAAAGCGAGTGTTGCGTTCGCGCAACGTCAGCGGAATAAGACTGCGGATATTTAGTGAGTAGGATTGTACTCGTTTGATGTTTTTTTTCAGTGGAGCGCAGGATTACTTTTTAGCTGTGTAACGTTTTATAAATCTACAAATCACTTTACTTGTAATTAATTTAATATTAAAATATACATTGTATTTCTTTTACAAATACAGATTATTTCAATTGAAGATTCAAGCATGAAAAGCTTGATTACAACCATGATGTAAAGCTTCATTACATACTTTGCATCTATAAACAGTCTGGCTATGGTACTCTTTACAACAATGTCTGTATTATCAACGGACTTTACGATAAAATGTCTACCATCCCCATGCAATGGTTTTTGAATGCTGAATTTACTAGGTCTTCCTGTTGCTGATCTATTTCTGGCTAATTCTACACTCTCAATAGGAGTTTTCAAAAGGAATAATGCATTCTCGTGTCTGAAATCTAAAAGAGACTTTATATCTCCAGTAGTAAAAAGTGGTGATATTTAATAAGTTTAGATACGGTCTCACCTCATATAATTTATCAGTATTATCAAGTTGACTATTGTCAAATGGAAGTTCTGCGTCATATTCCTGTACTGCAAACATGATATCGATTCTCGTACAACAGGAACAGAAATGTCCTTATCAAAAGACCAATACATTTTTTCTTGAGGTAAAGAATGATATCCTGTAAGCAATAATATTCCAATAAATCTTCTCATATAGGCTTCAGATGCAATAAATTCTGGGCGCTTTTTTTTCTGAGCGTATATATTTGTCTGTTCAATGAGAAGAGAGATAAAGAATGATATCCTGTAAGCAATAATATTCCAATAAATCTTCTCATATAGGCTTCAGATGCAATAAATTCTGGGCGCTTTTTTTTCTGAGCGTATATATTTGTCTGTTCAATGAGAAGAGAGTAAATGTCTAAACCAAAAAGAAAATTGAAAATCTTTGCACTAGTTTTACCTTGTATTTTGTCTTTTATAATTTCTCTTTTAAATTTTTCTTCATGTTCTTACTGAGACATAACTAACAGTTCCTTATCTAACAGTTCCACTTCAAGTCTTCTGCTTTTTAAACTTTTTAGTATGGCTATAACTGCTTTTAGAAGGCTGAAACTACTTACTTCTTACGTGAATTTCAACTTCCCCAGCAGTATCATTTGGTAAAATATCATTATCATTATTTAAAACATTGCCATTCCTTTCTTCTTCGTCACTATTTTCTGCAATTTCTAGCGGGACAACAACAATAGCCGTTTCATTCTGGTCATTATTAACATTATCATCATCTGTTTCTTCATCAAAAAATCTTTGAAGGGCTTCTTCTAATGTAAGATACCTCATTCTAGGCATTTTTAAACAACCAGAACATGAACCAGAACATCGAAAGGAATGAGTGAAAAAGGAGATCGACTACACGTTTCCTGCTGACGTTGCGTCAGCGCAACACCTGTTTTTCTTTCCTTCCCAACACAAATATAAACATTTTACTGATGTAATGTTCTGATAAACGGTGACCTTGACTAAAAATAGATCACTCATAAAAACGGCAATTCTTTGGTTAAATATTTTCAGCAAAAATACCCGGTCGAAAATTTTGCTTAAATTTTGCTTAAAGTATGAGATTAATTATTATAAACAAAATGATTGTTGAAGGCAAATATTTTTTTACAGAAATAATCTTCATAATATTCCCTACACAAAATCATCTGCTGGTATAAAATATCATAGGCAGTTATATTTATATACGCATTTATTTTGACCGTTGCATCAACGCAACACCAGCGGCTAATGGGTTAACGGCTGAAGGTGAAGATGATTGGAATTAGGATCGGTAATTATAACAGAAAGATTTTTTTTTAATGTGAAACGCCTCTAAAAAATCTAATACTATATATATTAGTTTTCAAGTTTATTCAGTGATAATATACTTTTTAATCCATTTAATGTTCAAAACAAAAATGCAGAACATTTGTCCCCGGGCGCAGCATCAAGGAGGCGCCAAACTGATGTTAAGAAATTTTAGAATGAAATGTTTTCCATTTTGGGCACACAGAAAGGGGCACAAAATCTTCAGCTGGCCCTAGGTGCTCAAAACCCTTGCTACAGCTGTGTATGCCAGGAAGAAAATCCTGTCCAGAAGTTTTTGGACAGACACTGTAGATCTTTTATTTACCTAATTAACAAATTTTTAAATATTTTGAAGTAAATATCTAAAACATTTTTTTAGTTATGAACTGTTTTAATTCATTATAATTTTAGGGTTGCTAGAACATTTTGCTTCAGTAGAAATGGGCATGGAGTGTATCTATGTTCACCTACAGAACTACAGAAATTTTCAATATCTTCATCCTACTGGTAAGATATATTGTTTTTTCACAATACTAATTTCACTTTTGTAGCTCTTAACCATTCTGATTACATCAATGTCGTTTTTTCATCATAAAGCTGTTTCAGATGTAATACAGAATATTACATTAAAATTTCTTGCCTGACTTACACTAAAATAACTTTAACTTACCTCCCTCCCCCCAAAAAAAAGATATAAAATATTAACTCAAATAATTAGTAAATAGCTATAAATAAGCTTGTAATGCACAGTGTGATAAAAAAAATCTTGTGATAAAAAATTTGGAAAATAGTGTTGTGATACATATACTTACCAATATGGTAGGAATTAGATTAGGAAGTAACAGTGTGTGCTCTATTAGGAAAGAATATCCACTAGACTATTATAAGCTACCATTGGAATGCCACTTTGTTCTTATTGATCAGTAATCGGTTCTGTCCACGATTTTTAGTGATGTGGTTTAGCTCTCATACAGTATTCCAATCTATTACGTCCGGATTAGAAGTGTAAGTTTTATGACATGGTGCTTGACTTGTTAAAATTGTAATACAGTCAAAAGTCGTTAATTCGGACACCCATAATTTGGAATGATCTATAATCCGGACCTCAAAAGTAAAAACTTTCTGCGCATGCGCCGCGTTGACACATGTGCATAGGCGTTTACGCGTGCGCGTAAGACCTTTTACGACTGCGCATATGAGTGTGCGCAAGTGCAGAATACGTTTTCGCGTGCGCGTTTTATGTATAATGGACGTATAAGCTAAAATTATCTAATTATCTATTTCAGTTAATGTTGATGATTGCGTTGTTCCTTAATTTTCGAATTGGATCCGGCTTATTATTTTTTGCAGACTGTAAGAGCAATTTTATAAAAGTAAGCTTAAACTTTCCGTTATATCAAATAGAATTTCCGATATATATTTGTTAATATGTAAAGGATCTAAAGCGAAAGTATGTTTTGAAATCCGAAATCTGTTTATCAATTTCACGCTGCTCGGCGGGGGGAACGCCGCGGCGGGCGCATAATGAATTGGAACTTGATTTGTCAGCACTATCCTTATCTTCAGCGCAGATGTTTTTATTTTATTTGGCTTATAATTCCTTACCAAATGTAGTATTTCATCTCGATATGCTCCGTCTTTGATATGATTTAAAATAAGTTCCTCGTCATTATAATCCGCTTCCGATAGCGAAGAAAAGTGACAGAGGTTATTGAAAACGAAAAAATTTCGATTGACAAATTAGTCGGTGTTCTTGACACAGCAATTATAGGACTTGAACAGCGGAACTTTGTAACTGAACAAGAAATTATGTCTGTTTAATAGAAATAAAGAGAAAGTATTATCACATGAAACGAAGCAAAACTTAAACAACTTACATTGAAAGAAATGTTTAATAAAGTAAACAAATAAATATTAAGTTTTTTCTTTTTGCAAATTTTGATACCCTTTAGATCATAATTGTTCTTTATTTCATAAATTACGGTTTCATATTTTTAATCTTGGAATTTCTGCATGCCATCTTACGAGATTTAAACTGATGATCTATAATCCGGAAAAATCGATAATCCGGAATCGCCGAAGCCCCGACGAGTCCGGATTAACGACTTTTGACTGTATTTGTAAAATAAAGTGATGTCAAATACAAATAATCAATAGCAATGATAACAGAAATAATAAAAAATTACAATTATCAAATAATTAAATTTAGGTGAATGTGTTTATTAAGTAAAGCTAGATTAATTGAAAAGGAAAATGTAAATTCCACTTAATTATTGTTGTCACAGAATCAGTCTCATGGAAGACACATGTCATCTAACTAAAACTTTATAAATTATGTACATTTCTTGCTAAAACATTATTATAATGGGAATAAAGGCTAATTCCCAGAGAAAGGCATTGCAAATGTTCCACAGGGAAATCAGGCTGTATAAATGTGTGCACTGTATGATATTATATCTTTCATATGACTTTTGCAAAATAAGCATCTACTGAGAATAGGAGTGTGCTAAATTATTTTTAACATGAAGTTCCTGGAAAGAGGAAATCACTGCAATCAGTGATACTGCACTATAATCTTAAGGATTTACTATTTACTGCTTTTTAAAGTCCAAGATGTTCATTTCATTTATTTAATATCTAGAGAAATTGATTTTGTTTTAATTTTATTCAATTTTTTAATCATATCTTCAGGAACATAGAGAAAATAGAGGAAAAAAATACTTTGCAAAAAAGCATAAAAAATAATTTAAGAATATGGAAATTGAACTTATCATCTCTTCATAGACATAATAATTTTTAACTTGATAGACTTCATAATTTTAGAACAAGTAAATATACAATAAATAGATATTATGTGTTGTGGCTACGAGAGAACTTGACGTCATTGACAAGTCTGCAATCTTCATTTCCGAAGTAGACTGAAAAGTATGGTTAAAATATAGGGCTGGCACTGTAGGACTGACAGAAATAAAAATAATCTAAGCAAGGAAGTTTACTTATTTGCCTTCTGTTTATCATAGTACTGGGAAAAGTAATTGTAGATTCCAAGGTTAATACCAGAGGAAAGCTCTTTAGTAAATTTAAAAGATTTTGCATTTTTAGTGTCAATTTATTCATAACATCCAGAGTTTTGAACAAGCCTTTCTGGTTCTGAGAGAGGCATTCAAAATACTTCTCAGTTAATCCGGATAACATTTTGCGTGACATTGATTCTAGCAGAAAATTATTACTTATATGGAAGTAGGTTCTTATAAATTGGAAAAATTGAGAGTTTTACCTCTTTGTGTGCTGAAGTTAACTTTAATGATAATATTGCATTCGAAATAATATTATTGCACCATAAAATAATCACTTCAGCTGATGGATGCTTCTTTATGAAATTATTTTAGTTTTCATTTTAACAAAGTTTAACCTATGCTTTAAGTCAAACTTATTTGAAAAGAAAACTAAAACAAGATGTATAGAAGTCTATCTAGATTTTCAATGTTTCATATGTTGATTTTTAGCATCCACTATAATCAGTGGTGGAAAATATGTCATGAATCATTGAAACACAAGTAAACATCACATGGCAAAGACAAGCAGATTCAAACCTTCATCAGACCTATGCTGAATCAGGTTAAAATAAACAAAAAATTCAAAGAATAAAATAGGATGGCTATGTAATAATGATCAGATTACTGACCAGAGGAGCACATGATTTCATTCTCACTGATTTCACCCAGATTTTGCAAGCATTATAGAAAACTTTCAGATGAAGATATGTATGAAGAGAGAATTAGAACTTCTTAAAAATCAGCTAGAAAATTCATACTGAAGTTCCAAGTAAGATTCATCATTATTTAAATTACTATCTTACTACTAAGCATTAATAGTCTAGAAGGAATTTCACAGAGCTTCAGACATAAACTTTCAGTTCAGGATGCCTATTCTATGATCACTGGATCTGTCTACAACTTGAGCGAACAATATTGGCTCAAAAAAACCGGTATAGACAGCCATCACAACTTATTGGAGAAAGCCATTCTGTGGTCCTCAGTTGGTGGGTGGGTGGGTCCATTTGACTTTACTGAAAGGGGACAAGACTTCAAAGAGCTTTAGACCAATCGCAGTACAGACGAGTGACGAAATTTATAGCGCGCACTGGCTGAAGTTCTAGGAATATTCTCCCATTATTTCACTAACTCACACGCTGCATTTGTAATTCGAAAAAATTGCACAAAACAGTATTATGACCAACACGCAGCAGAATATGTTCCTGTGTTATGTGAAGGAAAATCCTGTTTTTTAAGGGGAAAGTTAATGCAGGAATTTAGAGTTAAGAAATGAAAATTGATATGGGATACCACGAAAGCAATGGTAAATAGATAAGAGTAAATGAATTAAGCTTACTTCAAATCCTTTTAGAAATAAACAATTTTAATGATTTAAATTTATAATATGATTAATTTGCATTACAATCTAATAGCAAACTAATTTTTTTTTCCATGCTTACATTAAAACTGTTTTCTCGCAATTTACAGTTACTATTGGAAAAATATTTCTTTAAATAAGAAATTAGAAAGAAAATATTTCTTTCTTAATATTTCTTCCCTTTTTTTATTTTCTTTTTCTATGAAAATTATTTCTTTCAGAAAAAGAAATAAAATTCATTCGCTATGGCCGATTGCTGCTGTATTCAACTATCACACACGCATCAAAATGCTTTATTTTAAATAATTTATTCTATAATTAACATGAAAGAAAATATTTTTTCAATATAAAATATATAACCAAAATTAAACTAATCTATCCTGCATGTGTGATTAATTCGTTTTGCAATTTTTGTCACACAATTACTAATACCTTTTTTTAAATATTACATTGCTGTTATTTAATTTTTTTATATATATAAGAACTGCTCAGTTTAAATATTCTTCCTTCTCAAAAGATTTTATTCTGTGAAAATAATTAAAAGATCGTAATATTTTCATAATGCAAGTACAAAAATAAAAATATTTCGACACATTTTAAATAGAAAACTAATAATAATCAATATCTCTTTTACAATATAAAAATGAGAATGCTATGAACAGTAATTTTTTTTTTTTTTTTTTTTTTTTTTTTTTTTTTTTTTTTTTTAAGTTTGGAAAGAAACAATAATTTCTTAATACTATAATAGGTTACAAAAGTACTATTCCATGAACAAAGCCTCAGTCTTATAGCATTATTACTTTATAGCATAATAAAATAATAATGCAGTATAATTCTACTAACAAGCCCACCAGCCGCCGAGCGTTAAAGTCGCTGAACACAGGTAGTTTGGTCCGAGGTTCTAATCCTGCGAACGAGCTGGCCGGCGTTTTCGTGTCTTTCCCCATGTGTAACGTGTTTACGAGCCAGTTTCCCTTAGAAAGTCCTCACTTAGAAACTAATTTTAAAACGTAATATAATTACACACACACACACACACACACACCCAAAAAAAAAAAAAAATTACTCCCGAAATGCCATTTTTTTTAACGTTT